TCACTCGTCACTAGTTTTTTTTATACAAATATATAAAAAGAATTAGCAGGTCAAATATTTCTGTTGCATCCAAATACCAAATGCAACAGGACAATATTCCCATATTCCTGCATGGTATAACTCGTTCAGTAATTAAAAAGAATTATAACGTACGTTTTGTTGGAAAAAAAATAAGAAGACGTACGTAAGCATTACCGCCCAATCAACAAGTATGGAAATATATTTGAAGTTTTCAAATTACATGTTAGACAGTTCATATGTATCTTGTATGATCGCCTTTTCAACAACTATGGTGAACTAGTGATTAGTGAAATAAATTAGTTTTATTCTATATGTATATTTTGTTCTTAGCGTACATATATATAACTAGTTTTAAAGTAACGATATGTCAAATCTCAAATGTTATTGTTACAGCTTACACGTAGAATTTTAGTTCAAATGTTATTGTTACAACTTACACGTATTACAATTGTCAAAAGAAATTAATTATCTTTGTTCTTTCGTTGGCCATCGCTCAACGATGGCTTCTGAAAATCTCTCAACTAAGCGTCTTGAACCGTTATGGTTGCCATCCAGCTAAGCTGGCTTAATGACACATGGAAAAGTCAGACCCGTCTGAAACATTCGACTAAACCTCAGCCGCTTCATAAGCCTAATGATTTATTATCCCATAAATGTCTCTTGTTAATCATGTTTACTTAAACCCATTTTCCATCGTCGGACACGTGTGTCTCTCGTCTTTTCTTGAAGAAACACCAGCAACCTCAATGATAACACCATTAGTATGAATTTTAAAAATTAATTATTAATATTTTGTGTACTTTATGTATATAAGAGATCTTTTTGATGGGTGTTTTAAAAACAAAAACAATAGATATATATATATATATTGTAAAAACTTATTTCAATAACTTTTAAAACATAATACATTTTCATAAAAATAATACAAAACTTTTATAAATTAATAATATAGAGACTCTCAAATTTTATTAATTTATAAAAGTATTAGTTAATTGATAAATTAATACTGATTATTAATTTTATCGAGATATTTTTAGTTTGAATTTTTAATATTCATAAAAAACAAAATTAATATTTTCAAAAATGTAAAATTCATTCGAAATTAGTTTATATATTAGTTTATTACCATATGAACCTATTTTTTCCTGTCAACTAACAATTTTGACTAGATTCAGTGATTCACTCTCTCCTAATGGAAAGCTACAGCATACCAAGATAAGATTGTGTACCGAGTGACCCTATATCAATAAAAACTAGAGAAAATCAAGAGACAGCACCCTTTTTATTAGAGCAGTAACGAGGATAAGGCCAAGAATGTCATCTGATGGAGAATCTGGGGTGACTAGCAACAATGCACCAGCCATGTCTCAATCTTCTCAGGGATCTAATGATGAACCTGCCATAAGTAGCCTAACTGCTGTCCATTCTCAGGGATCTAATGATGAATCTGTCATAAGTAGCCAAGCTGCTGTCGATTCTGAGGGATCTAATGATGATGAATCCGTCGTAACAAGTGAAGATGCTGTCGATTCTGCGTACGTAGTTTACAGATCCTGATGTTATAATCTCTTCTTCCTATTATGTTTATTGAGTTGTCTTATTAACTGATCGAGAACATTTCTTTCAGCGAGCATCCTCTTCTGCAACGCCAGTTCTACCATTCGCACACTTCTCAGGTGATTCGAGTTCCTTCACCGACTTCTTTTACATATGTTCTTTGAATTTTCACGTTGGATATCTTATATAAATATGTATACTTTGGTCCCACAGATTCCAATTTTTAAGATAGTACTAGATCTGGTTTGATTGTTCGATCATGATTCAAATTTGTATTTACGCTTCGGTTTGTATCCACGCGTGCATGTTTCTGTGACACAGCCCATGACGGTTGACGATGGTTCAGATAGTGAGGCTGAAGTGGAAGATGACGTTGCAGATCCCCATGTATTAACATGACTTCTTGCTACGTTAATTCATTATATAAACTAGGTGAAAATGGTATCTTAAAAAAAATAAGGAGGAGATGCTTGATAATACTGCGGATGCAGCGATTGTGCAAGAGAGGTTCTTTGCAATGTGGAATGCATTTGTAAAGAAGAAATGGTAAATGTAACTTCAACTACTTATCTTATACTTGAATGTATACACACACACAATCATAGATGTTTGGAGATGTTGAATACATTATTTTGCCAAGAGAGTTAATTATGTCTTACAGTTAATCCGTAGTTTTGTCTTAATGGTTATCATGTGCTTGTGGAATGTTTTACTCAAATCAGATTTATGATTTTTTGTGTGTTTTTGTAGGGATTTCGGTGATGATGATATCCCTTGGGCATGTGAAGAGTTTTCAAAAGTTCACAAGAAAGCGTTTCACCGTTGCTCAGAACTCTACTTGTAAACCCCTCTCAGAACTATACACACACACACGTAGACGTAGTCATAACCAATTATATATATATAACAGTATTTGTGTTTTGTCAGCTGGTGGAAAACGTTAATGGTTAAGCTGTTGAATTATGGACTTCTCTCACCGGACACCATGACCAAGTGCAATGCCATGATCCAGGATGGCATGGATGACCCAGTCAACATCAGCAGCAGCAACAGTATCGATAAGGATGTTGGCGACGATGGCAGTAACAGCAAAGTCATGTAATAGGAAGAGATATCCGATTTGAACTTCAAATGCGCCGTTAATCGGATTGCATCATCTGCTTTTCTAAATAATTGCTTTGAGGCAAACAAAAGACATTCCAATTTGCTTTTCTTCATTTGAACCTGATTGAATTTTTTAGTTTGAAATTTTGATTCTGCTTAATATTTCTCATTTCATAAGTCTAAAATTGAAAAAATGGGGAAAGTCCCTTTTTTTTTATTTAATCATTATGGATATAAAGTCAATGTTTTTTAGGTTTCCCAGTATTCAAAATTTGAAAGTTGATTCTACATTTTAAAAATTCATATGAACAGATTACAAAATCTTTGCAGTGGATTTTTTCATAATAATTTACTAATAAAACTTCATTGACTAACATGGATTTTTTGAAAATTTAGTCAAAATTAACAAATAAAAGATCATACATTAATCCCAAATTTTAAGATACAATGTTGAATGGTACGTAATTTTTTCACGTTTTGAAAACATATTTTTACTAAATATACATTATTTATAACAAACACCAAATGATTAAAAAAAAACTAAAAATTAACTATTTTTCAATCTATCTCATTTTCAAAAGAAGAATAAGTAAGTCTAGCCAGCATTCAAGTAACTCTCCTTAAAGATGTATAGTTTAGAGAAAAGTTTTATTCATCTAATAGATACTAGGTTTGACTATATGTTAACTTAGTAACTGAACAACTCAATAATAAATTAGCGAAATCAATAGAATAAGTAAATTAAAAACTGAAGTAATTCAAAATGCTAAAATGCTGGTATATGTTAGATGAATACGTTTTTAAAAAACTAGTTATACATTTAAAATATGTGACATACATTAAAAAATAATGTGTTAATTTTTAATTTTTTTTATCATTCAATTCTTATTATTGTAAATGACATGTATTTATTGAATTACGTTTTGAAAACGTGAAAAAGTTACATACTATTTAACCTTACTAACTTTTTTAACATTTTGAATTTATTTAATTTTCAATTTACTCATCTTGTTGATTTCACTAATTTATTGTTCATCTATTCTACTAAGTTGATATACCAATCAAATGCAGTGTATAATCTTTAATTGAATAGCAACGAGTTGTCATTGGATTTAAATCTATAAAAGAATATTGAATAACACCCCTTAGTAAATAGGAGACATTGAACTAAAAGGGGGCATATTAAATTATTATTAGTTTTGGTTATTTGGATATGAACAATAAAAAAAAGTAAATAGAAAGAATAATTGTAAACAGTAAAAAATAGATAATTATGGTGTTTTTCTTCTTCTTTCTTTTCATCAGTTTTCTAAATTTCAAAAGATTACTACCATATGTACCTAAGATTTCATGTTTGACTAGATTCACTACTATTTTTAATACAGTAGTAAATAAATATATTGAGATTCACTCAAAATATAAAATAAAATATTAATAAAAAATGATAAAACAAAAAAGTTGGTAAAGTAAATAAAAAAAAACTGAAACGGGTAGAAGTAAAAAAAGTACTACAACAAAAGATAAAATAGAACAGCATGCCTGTGCCGATGACACACTGATTTTAATCCTCCTTGGTTTTCGCCTAGTCTCTCTCTCTCTCGCTCTCTGTATCTTCTTCTCCGGCACATCTCTACTCTTCCCGATCAGGTTTCACCTCTGTTATATCATATTTAGCTTCCACATTACCATGATCATGTCATGAATTCGTTTCGTTTTGTTCTTCTCTTCCATGATAACATATCAAAATTTTGAATTTCCCTCTGAGATCTCGATCTCTCCTTGTCTCGCGCACGGTGGTCTTATGCTCTTATTCGAAGATATAGATAGATTAGTTATTGTTAGAATCTGTTTCTTTTAAGATTCAGCGCCCTTTTGTTTGTTGTTCATCGATCTGCTTCAGTGGTTCTTCGCAATTCTTCATTTAAGACCATTGATTGTCCTAATTGGTATGTATTGTAGGAGCTTTACCCAGAAGATTAGGTTCGCTGCGACGTAGAAACCCTAACTTCGGATTTGCATCAATCGGCTGATTGTAATTGGACGAGAATGTGTAAGCAAAATTCTCGCGCGAAATCATCAACGGAGGTGGTGGAGGATGCTCCAGCTGATAACAGTCTCTTGGTGTTTTGTAAGCCTGTTCAGCTGTACATCATTATTCAAGCTCGCTTTTGTAAAAACGTATGGTTTGCTTTCCTCTCTCTCTCTCATCATTTAACGAATCTCAATTATTCTATAATCTCCAGTGTAGATTACCCAGATCATAGTTTTGGGTTTTCAATTTTCATTAGGCTGATTTCTGATTGGTTCTGGTCTGATTCATGACGAGTGTGTGTGTGTGTGTGTCTGTGCCTCTTTTGCCTCCTGATGATGTTGTCTGAACTTGTTCTTTGTTTATGCAGCCATCGTTTCTTCCAAGATGCTTGAGCTACATGAACCGAGCACAGGGTGAAAGCGAGTATGAGATTTCTCCTTGGATGTATAGTTTTGCTAGGGTGTTTTATTGATTTATCTCTATAGATCTGATATGGAAATTGATGACATGTATCTATGTTGAGTAGATACGGACATGATGAATTATTACTTCTCTCTTAATACTATTGAATTACACTTTTTTTGGCTATTGTGTTTTTGGTTAGGTCAAGATCTACTGGGTTGGTACATTTCAAGTACAAGGATGTTAATAACAAATCGCTGAAGACTGAAGGTGAGGTTCTTTCTCTGCTTTTCGACATTTCATTGTGTCTCTCTCTCTATGTTCCTCTAGTTTATTTTTATTAACTAATTTTTTTTTCTTGATTGTCTTGCAGTGAGGGAGGATGGTTCTTGCCCATTTTGCTATATGCAATGTGGTAGCTTCAAGGTGGGCAACCATGTCTTCTGAGGCCTTTCATATCTAACACATTTGTGAAAATGCTGCTTGCGGTTTCATGTTGTATACTTTTCATATTTTTGTGTTTCGTTTATCTTCTTTATTGAAACTTCCGGGTGTGGTTATCTGAGACAAAAAGTGTTTATAATCCGTGTTCCTGTGTCTTTTGCAGGGGCTGCAACTTCATTTGGATGCATCTCATGGCTTCTTTCAATTTGAGTTCACCGTATGTGGTTTTAGTGTAATTCCTTGTTTTGCCATGCCTTTTTTTTCTTCTTCTTCTACATTATAGCTAAAAAGGGTCTTTTCCTATTGTAGGTTGTCAAAGAGATCCAGACAGTTAATGTTTCTGTAAAAGTTGCTGAAGTTGAATCTCTGGTCAGTTACTTTAAACTTGGTAAATTGGGAAAAGGTGAATCTTTTGTTGATACTCTCTCTCCATTGAAACTTACAGCAGGAAGAAGAATGGGAAGAAGAGAAATTTAAGCCGTTCTCTTTTTGGTAACTTTCAGAATCCCTTAATAGCAGCATCTCCTTGCTTTTCTCGTTTTCATAAACCCAAAACCATAATGTTTTGCAGCTCCAAGCGTAGACTAAGAGGTGGTAGAAGGAACGCCAGGCGACTCAATGTAAGCTTTTTACCGTTGGATTCACCCAGTTCGGCTAATGGCTTGCAAAATGGAGTCTCCCTGCTGAATGCTGGTAAAGTCGCATCCTTCTCCTGTGGTATCTATTTATTCATTGTGGCTTTGTAACTTCAAACTATGGTAGAAGATACAGTGGTCTTGATATATTCAGTGTTGTTTGGAAATATTACGAACATTGATGTACATGAATGGCATTTGCTACAGAGCTTGCTGGACAATTTGGGATGCGTAGCAACACTGCACCAGCCATAGGTCAGTCTTCAATGGGATCTGGTGGTAGACCTATGCTAGCCACCGAAGCTGCTGCTCCTGCTGCTAGGGCTAAAAAGCTATCTGCTGAGCGATCAGAGGCTAGGAGGTTTGTTCTAAATGACAGTCCGTTCTATATTAAGTTTTAAGCATTCCTGTTGTTACAAGCTGCTCTTCCTGTTTATATTCAACTGTTTACTAGAACTGCCATTGTTAACTGAGAACGTTTCTTGCAGCCACCTACTTCTTCAGAGACGCCAGTTCTACCATTCTCACAGAGTTCAGGTGATTCAAGCTCCTTCACTGGCTTCTTTTGCTTATTCTTTGGATTGCACACGTTTGGTCAATTTACTATACTCTGGATTCTCATTCAAATTTATATGTATGCATTGGTTCTGCGACTTAGCCAATGTCGGTTGAGCAAGTGATGTCGGATCGAGACAGCGAGGACGAAGTGGATGATGACGTTGCAGATTTCGAAGATCGCCAGGTATTCCATGATTTCTTACTACATTTCACATCATATAAACAAAAAGTGGGAAAATGGTATAAACGATGATGTAACGTGGTAATAATGGCTTTTTGGAAACTTGAAAAAGCTGCAGATGCTTGATGATTTTGTGGATGTGGACAAAGAGGAGAAGAAGTTCATGCATCTCTGGAACACATTCGTGAGAAAGCAAAGGTAACTTAGCTAAACTACTTTCTTACACTTGAATGCAACTGCGCAAGTCTACATGAGATTTATACCAACTATAGAATTGCGTTTGCTATATGATAAACAATAGTCTAATGATTTTGCTTGTGGAACTTTTTTTTGTGTGTGTGGCAGAGTTCTGGCAGATGGTCATATTCCTTGGGCATGTGAAGCTTTTTTGAAATCTCACAAGAAGAAATTGCTCCGAAGCTTACCCCTCTTCTGGTAAATCCCTCTCCATAACTATATTCACTGACATAATTAATATTATACACAATAATAACAACAACATTTGTGTTTTGTTAAAAAAAATCCAAAAACATGTAGGGCCTGGAGATTATTTTTGATTAAGCTATGGAACCATGGACTTGTTGACCCGGCCGCCATGGACAAGTGCAATTCCATACTCGAGAAGTGCTATGATGAGTGTGTGGCTCCGGGCCGTAACATGAGGGGCAACGATATGGATGTTGGCGACGATGAGGAGTAATAGCAAGATCTCCGATCTGAAACAATGCGGATTTTCAACTTCTTGTTTTCTAAATTGTTTCGGAGCGAACAGAGAGATATTTTATTTTTTTTAAGTCTGCAACTCATTTTGCATTTTTTTAGTTTAAAACTTGATAAACCTCAGTTTTTTTTTTCAGTTAAACCTCAGTTTTTTATCAGTTAAACCTCAATTTTTATCAGTTAAACCTCAGTTTTTATTAGTTAAACCATTTTTGGTAGACAGAACTAAATTTCCCTTTCTTTTTCTAATTAAATTTTCATCTTTATTGCTCGTTCATTCATTTTCTCTCTCTAAAAAAAGCTAGAAAGTGCCCAGGGAGGGACTTCAATTAATTTGGGTTTTTAGATTATAGGCCCATTATTAATATTATAATGTCCAATATCAGTATTATGTTTTCCGCTTCCCATAATTTTAGGGGGAAAGTAGCGCGCGAAACCAAATTTTTTGAAAATTAATATAAATCTCTCAGATTGCGGAAGTCAAAGGGGAAAATATAAAGAGATACATACGCGAAGGGAGTGAGACGGAGTAGAGAGCTCTAATGGAAGAATTGATCTCGGTGGTGAGAAATTTATTTCTTTATGATCTCTTTGTGAATTTCTGTTCTCATTTTGATGATCTGTTGCTGAATTTTTTCTGGACAATTTGTGAGGGATTTAATTGAGCTTTATTTTTTATACTTTGTTAAAATTTCTGGATACTCTTTTGGGCAGGAACCTGGACACTCTGATTCTCAGTCTCTCCTTTCCGGTGAGTAATAACTGGGTTTTTTCTCTTCAATATCGTACTACAATGTCTAGTTTTCTGACATTTTCTTTTGATTTCTGGGCATTTTCCTACAGAACCACCAGATATTACGAATTGGTTTCCCAATTACGTCTATGAATCGTTCCCTTTGTGTTCTTTACTTAAGGAAACTGAAAGCGAACTAATTGGGTTTCCTGTTGGAGATGATAACAAAAATCTGGGCCTTACTGTTGCGGAAAGCAAATCCTTAGAGAAGTTTTCCTCCAACAAAGATCATAACCCTATGAACAAGAGTATGAGTCAGGTAGTAATCTCACCATAGTAGTAGATTTTTGGCTTGTATTAGAACCTTTTGGATAGTTTATTTTGTATGCACGTTTCTAATGCATTTTAAGTTTGGGCAGATTTCAGACAAGAAGCTCTATGAATCACTGCCTTCTGGTAAATCCTCTTTTTGGTTACACTCTTGTTAAACTTATTGATGGGTTATGTTGTAACCTGTTTTTGATCTCTCTATTGCTTCTCAGAACCTCGTGATACAGGTAATTGGTCTTCGAGCTGTAACTATGACTCGCCGGTGCTGGATACAAATGATGATGGTCTTGAATCCTCGGTTCATGGAGAAAGTGAATGTGTTAAGGAGACGCAACTAGAAGAAGAAGAGATAACAAACGATGCTTGTCCTAGGTTGTTTGAGCAGGAACTTGTCTCTTCTGCAAAGGTATTGCTATTTTACTTCCTATGCCATAGTTACATCAGTTGATTTTATTATGAATCTATATCTGGCTGACGAATTAGTCTCTTTGCAGGTTACAGATTTCTCTCAGTCTCAGTCTTTTCTTTCAGGTGAGCAAAGCCAGTTGTTTTGTACATTAAAATGTTACTGTGTTTGCTTTCTTGAAATGTGTTGTTACATTAAGGTGGTTTCAGGTTTTGTGTTGAATCTTACTTCTTTTATTGATTGTTCTATCAGAGCCTCCTGATGTCAGAAACTGGTTTTCAAGTTATGAGTATCAGTCTCCTCAGCTTGACACTCATGAGATTGAGTTTTGTTCTTCTGAGAAAGATCAATTAATCATTGACGAGAGTGACACAGAGGAAGAAAACAGTTCTGGTATTTTTCGAAAAACTAAGAGCAAGCAAGAGACTATTTCTCCTGGCAAGCTAAAATCAAATGACTGCAAGGAAAACATAGCTGCAGACACGGTAAGTCATGTTCCTGAATCTTTTTGACAACGGGAAATCATTACTGCACCTTGTTGCGTATTTTCAATTGCAATTGCAGAATTTTATCTTTGACATTCAATCCTATTAGCTTTCAACTGACTCTTTCTCGATTGTACATGTTAGACCAATGAGGTCTCCTCAGACAATGCATATTTAGACCAAGAAATGGAAAAGGAGCCATCTGTTGGATTGGTCGTGAATGAATCAAAGAAAGAAGTGAGACAAGAATCAAGCTTCAAGCAGGAACCAATATTTTGTGAACCAAGGTGTAGTATTCCTGCAGTGTCCCGGTACAACTCAAAACCACAGTTTCCCTCAAAGAAGAACGAAGCTTCTTTACATGAGCCGAGACCGCAACACACCCAAGAAACCATTTCCATGAGCTCCAGTAGACGAAAGTCTCCAAGAAAAGCCACTCAAAAGGCTTGTCTGGAAGAAACCCTGGAGTCTGTAGAGAAAGAATCAGATGACAAGGAAAATGCTCATGGAAAGAGCGTTGAGACAGGATTTGTGACAATGAAAAAGGCGAGATTCAGAGAAGCAAGAGACCGATGTTCCATGAAGAAACCAATTAGAGGAGTTTTAGTGGAGTGTTGGAGAGGCAAAGAGTTAAAGAGCATAGCTTGGGAGGAAGACACAGAAGAAAGAAAGAAGAAGAGAAGAGTTTTGGGGGAAATGTCGAATCACCAGTTCTCTGGAACGGAGGAGATTGCAGGAAAATGGCATTGCCCTCAGAAAAACAAAGGAAAATCAGGTCCGCCATTGAAACAGCTTCGACTTGATGCCTGGATTCATAAAAGGCTTTAAGGATTCATCATAAAGCAGCATTCTTTCCCTCTCTTTTTGTATTTTCCTAAATTTTTGCTCAAACTGGTAGATAACACAAACCGGATCAAACCGAAATTAATTTAGTTAGGTTCCTTCTACTTACACTATTCGAAAACCGAACCGAAACCCCCGAAAATAATAACTGAATCATATCAATGAAAATTCGTATAAGGATAAGCATTAGCCATTTTTGCTCAATAAAGAACGACTTTAAAGGACTGATTTTTCACCAAAATGCTGCTTCCACCGGAAAAAAAAAACAAATAAAAGTTCCTTAATTACCCGGAGTTTTCTTCAGACTCTGCATTTTTTAGCTAAAAGAGTAAAAGGAAAAAAGGTTTTTAAAAAATCAGAACTTTGGAGGGTTCACGGCTCAGAGACGGTGAAGATGAGCTTCGTCAAGTATCTCCGCCGAGACAGTTTGCTCCAGTTAGCCGGAAAATCATCTCTCAGCCGAAATTACATGCTCCAGACCCGCCGGACTCTCATCATTGAAACCGCTCCGCCTGAATCTGTGAAGCTTAACCGTCTCTCTGGTAATTTCACTTTTCATTATTCATTATCGAATTGGTGTGTTTTATGGGTTCCTGTAGTTGCTGCTTAACAGTAATGGTTTTTTTCTGTAGTTCCTTGTATCTGTTAGTGTTCGTTAGTACACTTTTTTCCCGGGTTGATTGGGATCGACTTAAGTGCGATTTTGTTTTGCTTTACTTGAGGTTTTTGTCGTTGGACTTGCTTCTCTCTGTTATGCTATTTGTTTCTCTAGTTAAACCTTTAGTCACCAGTGGTTATTTCTGGATATAAGAATTTGATCTCGTCCTGAAATCTTGTACATTTTGTTTCTTGTTTCAGTTTCAATGTCTGAGAATGGTTGTTGTCTGATCAATGTGTGGTCTATGATGTTCTGGTGACTTTGAGCTTACACCAAATCTGTTTGCACAAAACGATGCTAAAGGAAAGATGACAAATGCACTGTTTGTGTGTGTGCTTATGATTAACAGGGATTATTGAGGTCAATCTAGACAGGCCTGTGGCCAAAAATGCCATTAATAAAGAGATGCTGAAAAGTCTGCAGAACACATTTGAGACCATACATCAGGATAGTTCAGCTAGGGTTGTAATGATTAGAAGCCTGGTTCCAGGGGTTTTCTGTGCTGGTGCAGATCTGAAGGTAGTTTTGCCACTGTCCTTCCTTCTGGAAATGTTCGCATTCGATATGTAATTCATGCTTGAAATGTTTTTCTTACTGTTTTGATGTCAGGAACGTAGAACCATGAGTCCATCTGAGGTTCACACGTATGTCAACTCGTTGCGCTACATGTTCTCGTTCATAGAGGTATTGTGCTCATTTATCCTTGTTGGTTCTCACAGATTAGCTGCTACTTCATTAAAAGATTGTTGGGTAAAGTTAATTGTCAATCTAAGTATGTTTGCCATTAATCTATACTAATTTTTTCACCAAATCGTTAGGATGACCTTCTACATTTGGTAGACTTAGCTCTACTTTATCAAGTTTTGGAATTTATAGTCTTCGAACTTATCAAAGAGAAGAAGACGACTGTGTAGTGGTTCTAGTGACGCAGCTTCATGTGTTCCTTTATTTCTAGGATTTGGTTCTCAGTGAGATTCACATTCTATAGTGACTTTGAAGACTTGTGTTTCTAGGCACTGAGTATCCCAACTATCGCTGCAATAGAAGGTGTGGCACTTGGAGGTGGACTCGAAATGGCTCTATCCTGTGATCTTCGAATCTGTGGTATTTTCATATCTGGTCATTTTCTTATTTGTAATCTACATGCCAAGATGAGAATTTATTGATAATACTCAGGAATTTTTCAGGCGAAAATGCAGTGTTTGGCTTGCCTGAAACAGGACTCGCTATAATCCCTGGGTACATAATAAGCTCTATCACTCTTGGATAAACGATTCTCGTATTACCCTTTTTATCAATCTTGTGATGATTTTTTTTCTCTTGGCTATTCAGGGCTGGTGGGACCCAGAGGCTCTCGAGGCTTGTTGGGAGATCGGTATCAAAGGAACTTATATTCACAGGTCGAAAGATTGATGCAAGAGAGGCTGCAAATAAAGGTCTGTGACTTGTTATAGTTGCATTTTTATAATAACGTGTTGTGAACTTGTTTTTTTTGACATATACTCTTTTGTTTGTTTGTGTGTGTGTGTGTCTGTGTGTGTGTGTGTTGCAGGGCTTGTGAACTTTTGTGTACCGGCGGGTGAGGCTCATAAGAAAGCAATTGAAGTGGCTCAGCAGATAAATGACAAAGGTCCATTGGCTGTAAAAATGGCGAAGAAAGCGATTGATGAAGGAATAGAGACGAGTATGGCTTCGGGTTTGGAGGTCGAAGAGATGTGTTATCAGAAACTTCTTAATACTCAAGATCGTCTTGAAGGATTAGCTGCTTTTGCTGAGAAGCGTAAGCCTCTTTACACTGGCAAGTGAAGCTCTTCTTATCTACTTAGTTTCAATAACCGGTGGAGATAGCCATTGAATTGGATGTTAATAACCGGGATGGTTTAGGATCATAATAATGTCTATGACACAGAAAAGAAGGAACAAATATCACAGTTTGTGTTTTCGCACAAACAGTTTGTGTTTGTGCATTCAGCCATTCATTGACTTGAATCAGATTGTTAAATAGCACAAGCTTGAATCAGATTTGTAGTAAAATTAAAGTTGGTTAAACCTCAAAAGTTGAAACCAATGGTTATACTTTGTGCGTATGTTTTAAGCTACTAGTTTTAATTCATAGGTTTACATTTTTTTTTTTGACAAAATTTTCATAGGGTTTACATGGAGTTATATATACCAATACCCGAACTCATCTCTATGAATTCTTGAAATGTTGTTTTTAAGTGTGTGAATGGATCTACTTTAAATGCAATCTTGTGCATTTAAAAAAGTACTCATTATTATGCTACAAAACTTTTATCAATTCAATTTTTTATTTTAATCGTTTAGCATTACACTCTAAATTAGAGTAGAAAGAAAAAAACTTGGGGTCAACAAAACTTTTGTTACAAAAGTAGCCGACCAGTGAACCACCGCCCCATCAAAGTGGTGCCAAAATGATGTGTTGATGATTAGACTCTTTTTCCAATTTGACTTGTAACCATAAAAACTGAAGATGCATACATAAATTATTGATAAGAACTATTATGTGTAGTCGTTACATTCATACTACTTCACACTTTTATTTACGCAGGAGTCTCACATTCATATATAAACGTCAAATGTTGAGGCTTCAGTGAAGTAAATTCTGAATTTAGAAGCCATTCAATTCAACAACATAAGATTAAGATTAAATTCGTGATTTTCTATTCCTTTTTTTGTGGATTTTAAAAAGTTCCATTATAGTATTCAAAAGGTATAGATGCCTTATCGACAAGTTTGGTCTTTGGTAAAAGAAAAAGAATCGTTTTTATTTTTGTAGTCTTCCCACGTCCGGTGAACTAGAGACATGTACGATCTAACTGTATTTATGTAATTTAAATGGATTTGGTTAGTAATTTCAAATTTGTATCGTTTTATTTTTATTGTTTCTGCGTAAGAAAAAAGCTTTAGCGTAGACAGACCAAAAGAAGGGGAATCCAGATTCCTCCGGGGTCATCATATGCCTACGCGACCTCTGTCATATTCTCTAAATTATTTTACGTATTCTTTACCAATTAAATTACCCCTCTTTATTCTATACTTTACACTTTTAACAAATTTAATAATCTGCTCCCTTTATAAGCATTACCCGACCAACATTATCGAAAATTATATATTCCGAAATGAATGTGTAAGTTTTGAATACTTACACAGCATTATACGAAATTGAACTGACACATCGTATTACTATTGGGTTGAAACTCTGTAACAGATAAAGACCACAAAATTACAAACCTTAAATGTAACATTTGGATCTTCTACACAGTTTTAAGTAGCGATTCTCCAATCGCTGTCAATTATCAGAAATAACGTTAGAATAAGTATTAGAAACCAAAAAATAATTAAAGTTGGGAGTGAATTCACACATCAAGTTGGATTTCAGATTTTGTTCTCTTCAATCTCTTTCTTCTTCTTACGTTTTTTTTTTCTTCCAAATAACAAAAAGAATAAAAACAGAACTTAACCTCTAAGTCTTAGCTTAGCATTTTTCCCCACTAACTTTATCTTCTTCTTTTCAAATCCTCTTTCATCACCAAAACAAAAGAACCTTTACAACTCTCTCCAACACTTCACTTTCTCTCTAATGGTGGAAACAAGAAGCTCAAAGAAAACAACCCAATTGGGTAACAAGGAAGATCAAAACCCTAGAAAATTCTACTCTCGTTTCCTCTTCAAAGCTCTGATCCTCGCCGTGCTTTGCGCCATCGTACCTATCTTCCTTTCTCAAACGCCAGAGCTCGCTAACCAAACCAGACTCCTCGAGCTTCTCCACCTCGTTTTTGTCGGCATCGCCGTCTCTTACGGCCTTTTCAGCAGCCGGAACTACGATGGAGGCGGCGGCGGAGGAGGATCGAGCAATAACGATCACAAAGCTGATAACAATCGTAATCCTCATTCGTATGTTCCTAAGATTCTTCAAGTATCCTCTGTTTTTAACGTGGATCACGAGAGTGAATCTGAGCCGTCCGATGATTCCTCCGGCGACCACCGTAAGATTCAGACATGGAGGAACAAGTACCACATGAGAGGTTCCGACGTTGTTCTTTCTAAAGATCACGAGACTCGTTTCGTTGATCGAGTTAGTTCAGGAATCAGAGAAAAGCCTCTGCTTTTGCCTGTTCGGAGCTTGAATTACTCTCGGGTTTCTGATTCCGGCGATCACTCTGATCGATGGGAGAAAGTGAGATCCAAGAGACAGCTCCTCAAGAGTCTCGGTGATGATAACAGCGATGTGCTTCCTTCTCCGATTCCATGGAGATCAAGATCATCATCATCAACGGAGAATGAATCTCATCCGTCCATTAAGAATCTGACTACAATTGAATCACAGCCGTTGATCAAGACTCAGGCGAATCTGACGTCATCTTCCTCTTTCTCTTCTTCTCCGAGAAAGTCGACGCCTTTACCTAAGCTCACAACGGAGTCTGGAGCGAAATCGGCGGAGGACACCGTGAGAAAGCAGGAGTTTCACCAATCACCATCACCTCCTCCTCCGCCGCCGCCGCCGCCGTTACCGGCGTTTTATAACTCGGCGTCGAGAAAGGATTATCCTCCCGGAGTTTACAGGATTGGATCGAGAGAATCAGTTCAGAAGACGAAATTTTCAGGCGGTGAGTTTCATCCTCCACCGCCTCCGCCGCCACCACCTCCGATGGATTACTATAAGTCGCCTCCGACGAAAGTGAGAGTAAGCAACGAACGGAGAAAATCGTCGGAGCAAAAGATGAAACTGGATGAGCGATCAGCGAAAAGAAACTCTCCTAAACATGTATGGTGGTCCGACCCAATCGTGGAATCGAAGGAAGATAGAGTAATCAGAGAAGACACGGAGAAGAATGATCGAAGAAGTTTCTTGGGAAGCAAGGCAAGTGAAGAATCCGAGGATGAAGAACATATAAGAAGAGAAAATGAAATAATCGAGGAGAAGAAGATAGAAGAGGAAGAAGGAGTTTGTGGGAACATCAGTGACGTGGACAAGAAGGCTGATGAGTTCATTGCAAAGTTCAGAGAACAGATTAGGTTACAAAGAATCGAATCCATCAAGAGATCTACTAATAAGATCTCTGCAAATTCTTCGAGGTAGACCGTATGTATTATTAAATATATAATAACAGACGAGAAAGAGAAACATTTCAACTTACTCTTGTTAATTGTTATCATCATGAGGTTGTAACTGTAGGCAGATTAAAATCGGGTATGAAAACTGCGATTTAATACTCTGATAAACGATAAAAATATCAAGATGATATTAAACGGAAAGCGTACAAATGTGACCTGAAAACATGAAAATGTGGTGTTGGGATTTGATGTCTTTCATTGATTTTATAAATCGTTTGTAGTGTGATGGCAAAATACGATTTTGAATTCCAGGATACAATTGCGAACAGATTGTTTTGGAACAACAAAATTCACAAAATATTCTACTATATACTCACAGGATTTACGTTTTTGAGAAGAGAGGAAGATGAGAGATTTGTATCTATAGGCTATAGCCAAGGTGGAGCGGTTAGGTGATTAGGTCTGCTGAAGAAGGGGCACATAGGAGCGGTTGCATGAGACTCGGTCTCATATTGATCCGTGCGAAATGAAGTGATTGAGCGTACTAGCCCGGGAGATCTAATCAAACACTTGTTTAAATTTTGAATCATCCAAAAATTCATAGGAATATTTGACCTAAAAGATTTAACTAAATTTAGCCCAAAAATGTTAGATCAAAAACCCGAACCCAAAACATACACCAATTTTAATGCTATCTTCCATACTACTCATAGTATATCCATCCACTTACTTTTAAGTTCCCTCATTCATCTACTGAAAATCATTTATCTAATAAAAGACTTTTCGCTAAAGTTTTTTAATTTGGAACATTTTGCATGATTGACACTTACTCAAATTTTGATGTGTTTTATACTTTCTAAATTATGTACTTTTAAGTTTGAACCCTTATTTCCCATTTACATTAAGGTCTTCTTTATATACTACCATTTATTCAAAGTTCTATTTCTCAAGTTGATAAGACCTCTCTTTCTTGTTTGTGTGTTTACATAATTTTTTTTTTTTGTGTGTGTGTTTGGTATCGTAACATATAGTGTTGGGCTAAGTGGTGGATGAGAAGTAGCCCAACAATATAGTCTTCGTGTTCAGTAAGGCCTAAATTCGGCCCATACTCATGTCAAGAACAACAAGGGGCGGCTGTATAGACCATATGGTAATCTCCTCTTCAGTAGTTAGTTGTAAACATAAACACCACCAGATTTGGGACCATACATATAGCCCTTGTTTGATTCGACAGTTTAGTTGGGTGAAAGTAAATGCCTTTGATTTATTCTTGTTTGTTTGGGTGAAATCGAGATGAATTTATCAGGCACCAAACTCTTTATTCAACCAATAATTTTCATACCGAACGCTTACTTCTAAACAACAACAAAAAAAGGAAAATGTTTTAATAGGATCGAAGATCAAAATTATAACGAACCATTACATTTATATCAATTAAGATTTAAAGTGTACGTGGATTGTGGAGCTATGAGTTTTAATTCTTCATTTTCTCGTTTTTTTTCTTTCTAACACTAACTTAGCTTAAAACTATATACTATTGCTCTCGAAAGAAAAGTATTAATTATGACAGTTGTCCAGAATAGTTATTGCAATAAAACCAAATATCTGATAGGTGACTGTAAACATTCGTTGTCACTTGTTAGCATGAACATGATGGCTTTAATAAGAAAATATTAATCTGCTTTTTTTGTTTTTTCTAAAAATAGTACATACATGTTAACAACTACATGCATCTGGTCCCCCTGAAACTGGAGTAATTAAAAATGACCGAAATGCTCATTGGGTTGCAAATACTCAAAAGACTAGGACCGAGGACGAAGAGCGTCAAACGTCAAGCCGTGAGAGATCCTCGTAGCAGGAGCCCACGCATTGACCTGCAATGACCTGTGGTGATGGTGCGCTGACGTGGCCGCATGAGATGGTTGTGGTGGTGGTAGTGGTTGTGGGACCGACACGTGTTCACACGAAGGGCACATGGTCAAAGTGGTGGGAGGGTTCATGTGCATGTAGAACTGAGGAGAGAGCTTAAGCGACCTTAACTCCGT